GCAAGCGCAAGGATTTTCGCGGTCGCCTGCTCGCGGCGTTTGATGGTGCTCAGGGTTGGATTCTGGTTGCCTTGATCGGCTGCATCACCGCTGCCATCGCCTATTTTGTGGACGTGACCGAGGATTTCGTCTTCGACATGAAAGAAGGGTTTTGCACTACAAGATGGTTCCATAACCATGAAAGCTGCTGTGCAGACACCCTGGACTGCTCTGGATGGCGGTCATGGTCGCAGATTCTCAGTCGGTCTGGCTCCGACAATGGATGGGTCGACCATGCCATGTTTGTGCTCTGGGTGGTTATCCTTTCAGTTATCTCATGCTACCTGACGTTGTTCACGAAGACCGTTGTGCCATCGTCGGTCTCGCTCACGACGCTAGATGAGAACCTCGGTGCCGGGACTTCTCAAGGAACGAAGCGTGACACCTCCGAGGACGGTTCTCCAGCGTCATTAATTAGCCCGAAGACGCATTATCCAATGATCTCCACGCGCCCCGCTATGACTTACTATTCCGCAGCAGGCAGCGGAGTGGCCGAGGTGAAAGTCATCAACAGCGGTTTCGTCCTTCACGGCTACCTCGGGTTCAAGACTTTGGTCATCAAGACTATTGCGCTAGTTTTCAGTGTCTCGTCCGGCCTGAGTCTTGGGAAGGAGGGTCCGTTTGTGCATATTGGCGCCTGTGTCGGAAACATCGCATGTCGGTTGTTCTCCAAGTACAACGATAACGACGGCAAAAGACGAGAGGTGCTCAGCGCCAGTGCTGCAAGTGGTGTCGCCGTCGCTTTTGGTGCCCCAATTGGTGGAGTTTTGTTCAGTTTGGAAGAAGTCAGTTATTATTTCCCGCCAAAGACTTTATTCAGAACGTTCCTCTGCTGTATCGCGGCAGCTCTTTCTTTGAAATTCCTCAACCCCTACGGCACTGGCAAGATTGTCCTTTTCCAGGTCCGGTATGTGACCGATTGGGAGATATTTGAAATTGTCGTCTTCGCGCTGCTTGGTGTTTTGGGAGGAGCGGCTGGCGCTCTCTTCATCAAGGCCTCGAGTCTGTGGGCCAAATCATTTCGCAAACTTTCCATTATTAAACGCTGGCCAATGCTGGAAGTTATTATTGTTGCACTGGTGACTGGGGTGGTCAGTTTCTGGAATCGGTACGCCAAGCTGCCTGTCTCCGAACTCCTTTTCGAGTTGGCAAGTCCGTGTGATCACGAGTCCGTGACATCAACTGGGCTGTGTCCTACGGCAGACGGGATCGGCGAGATTATCAGCGATCTGCTGGTAGCCTTCGTGATCAAGAGTCTTTTGACAGTGGTGACATTCGGCATCAAGGTGCCCGCCGGAATCTATGTCCCGTCCATGGTTGTCGGCGGTCTCATGGGCCGTATTGTTGGCCATGTAGTGCAATTTTTGGTGGTAAAGTTTCCAAACTTCTTTCTATTCTCGACCTGTCCGGTCTACTCGGGCATGGAGTCATGCGTCGTTCCAGGAGTGTATGCAATGGTGGCCGCTGGGGCCACCATGTGCGGCGTAACGCGCTTGTCCGTCACTCTGGCGGTCATTCTGTTCGAGCTGACGGGCAGCCTGGACCATGTCCTGCCGTTTTCCCTGGCAGTTCTGTGCGCCAAATGGACTGCAGATGCCATTGAGCCTCGTAGTATTTATGTAGGTCTAGCGTCCCATAGGACTGCTAATTCCAGGATGAGCTAACTTTGATAGGACCTGCTCACTGATATGAATTCTTATCCATTCCTCGACAACAAGATTCAGCTTCTCTCGGAGGACGAACTTGGAGACATTGTCCGGCCTGTTCGGAAAAGCCGCGTGATTGATATTTCAGAATCGCCTTTCGTGCCAGCAACCGAGCTGCGCGCCAAGCTACAGCACCTGCTCATGGCAGGTGAGCTGGACAGCGGCTTGCCCATACTGCGCAACGATATTTTGTGTGGTATTATACCGGCTCCAGACCTTGAGTACGCCCTTGACACTATTGAGGATGAGGAACACACCATGTGCCTCATGTCAATGGACACGGCTTCTGCTGTCGTTGACAGCGAGGATTCCAACGGCAATAGCTGGGTAGACTTCCGCCGATATATTGACCCGGTGTGTAGCCTCATTTTTCCTGCTGTGATTCTTAGACTGACAGTTCTTTGCAGGCTCCAATCTCTCTCGATATACATTCGCCCATCGACCTTGTCTACCAATGTTTCGCCAAGTTGGGACTGCGTTATCTGTGCGTTCTTCGCGATGGCCAGTACGCAGGCCTGGTGCACAAGAAGGCATTCGTCAAATATGTCAAGGAGAACGAATGAACGAGACATCCTCTACCCACATGGATAGGGTTGAAGCATAATGCCAAGATCAACCCGTTGTTCTGGCATACCCGGCGTTTACTTTCACATTTTGTCCCATAATTCTTGCCCTACATACACGTCCCTTGTTTTGTATTAAGTTTCCGTTTGGCAAGTCTTGTATATGAACCTCGAACTTGAGGGGAGGAACTTTGCTTTGGCATTTGCACAGGCTTCATGTAGATTAGCGTTGGCCTTTTGACGAGTCGTTTCAGCGGACATACATCATGACAGCATGTTATACAGTATATACGGAGATCAATATTGACAAATGTATATGAGATTACCAAGCGCTCAACCTTCAACCCGTAGTCACTACAAGATCCGTTCATAACCCACCATCTGGATCCGCACATCCCCTTCCTCCCTCCATTTCGACGAGACCTCCTCGCCCACCCACCCGGACACCTCCTCCTCGCTCGCCATCCTCCATTTCCCGCCGGCTGAAAGCTCCTCATCTACCGGGAAGAAGGTATCACACTCAAACTCCGTCCCATCCACCCTCTCCACATTCGTCATCACAATTCGCACCGGTTGTGTCTCGCTCATCCGCAACGCAGAGGCATATATCTCCGCCCCACCAATCACAAATACATTCCCCAGTCTCCCCTCCGCCCCGTAACCACTCTCCAGACTCGCTAGCGCGTCCTCAAGCCCCGTACTCACGAGAGCATCCGTCTGCGCCTGCGCCTGCTCTTGCTTCTGAGCTTGCGTCTGCTCCTGCTCAGCAGCAACAGCAGCAGCCTTCGCCCTCTTCGCCTCCAACTCCCTCATTATCCGTTCCCGAACAGAACCAGTTGCATCCCTCGTAATCACGACATTGATGCGCTTCGCGAGCGGGCGGAGGTGCGATGGCAGCGAGTCGTAGGTCTTGCGGCCCATGACAATCGCGTTGATGGTTCCAGGGCGAGGGGCCCGTGATGTCGCGCGCGCAAAGAACGCCATGTCTGCTTTTATGCGCGGCCAGGGGAGGGTGCCGTGCAGGCCGATGCCCAGGCGGGTGGGGAGGTTTTCGCTTGTGCGGATTGGGGTCGTGGCCACGATGAGGGTTAGGGGTTGTGAGGGGGTGGGCGGCATTTTGCTGGTTGCTATCGTGTAAGAATTGTGGTTGTGATGGAGGGATGAGTTGGAGATGAGAGAGGTGGGTGGATTGGATTGATGGGGATTGTTTGGACGTGTTGCGCGAATCGAGCTGATATGGTTGATAAGAGTTTATCGTGAATGCCCCACTAGAAGAGGTATGAAGAGTATGCTCCAGACACTAGGTTTAGTAAAGTAGAGAGGTACGGAGTATTTTAGCATCTTTTGTATTGCTGATGATTCAATGGGTATCTATAACTACAAGTTTCTATGGAACAGCCTGGAAAAACTTGACCAAACACCATACGCCAATCCCATGCAGAGCAAACCTTGCCCAAAAGTAATCACTTCGCTGGCTTCAACAGCCCACCCTCCGCAATAGCCTTCTGAATAGCCTCAGCATTACTCTCCAGCTGCTCTCTCCGCTTCACGTCCGCTTCGTCTTCCCCCAGAGTGTCAAGTTTCCCAAACAGCCATGCCTCCTTCATTGTGCGGGTTAGGGAGAGAATATCCTCTGCTGCGCGCACCTGTCGTATACTCGCGTATCAGCATATAACACTTCGTATCCTGGTAAAGAAGCGATTTGCGCAGAAACACATACCAGTGCGGTCGACTCCACGTCAAGCTGATACGTTTCGACAGCTGTTGCTGTGTGACTTGTGTTTTCAACCTGAGACGGAGGTCAGTCGGCTCCACCGCGGATTTCATCCTAGAGTGAACGAACGGTAGCTGTAGCCATTATATTCTCGAACCGCTGCAGTAATTGTGAGATGTCGGCATTGATGCGATCTGCATGTGACGCGATTAGTTTGGGTACTGTAGGTTCGAGACGCCAAGGGCAGGCAGGCATTGCGTTCGAAACTCACTATGTAGTGCTTTAGATGAAGGTTGAGAGTCCATTATTGAGGTCCAATTGAGAATTGACGACGTAGATGTGTGAAGTCATCTGGAGAGTGTTCCTGATATTGTCCCTCACACTGATGTTGAAGGCGGGGATTATGGCGGTACAGCATTCTGCCGTATCACGTATGTTTGCTCAGATTGGATCGTTGTTTTGGATGCTAGGATGCTAGTACATATCTTTTTCACCGAGAGCTGACGCATCAGCCACATTACAAGGAAGTCATGTAATTATCTGGACAAGCTAGTAGCACTGACAGGCTTGTCACATAGCTGGGTTACGGACACAGGAAATGTGGCATAAAGTGGTGTATCTCATAGATTGCGCAGCTCTGGACGGCTCAGACTATAGTATCATGATTCGAGCACCAACTGACTGCAAGTGTCCCTCCAAATCCAGATCAAAACAAGGCAACCCCAAGGATTAGGACACTTCTGAGAGCCATTCTCCAGGGGTGCCTAAGCCAACGAGGCTATGCCGAAAGGCCTCAGTAGGTTACCTTCCTTGCCATCATACTAGCGAAGCCTTTGGTTGCAGTAGGGTCATCAAGCCAGTCTACCACCCTGCAGATTTCGTTCTCAGTCCAGAAGAGCTTGTACCTAGCTCCACATATTGATTAAAGTGTGAAAACAGGCTCCAAGTTTGTCGAGAATCAATTTGAAGCTACCCAGTCTATCGGACATATTTGGACTAGTGTACATTAGCAGTATTCTTCATATCCTTTCGAAGAGTTTACTCACCATAAATCTTCTGTGGAAATCGGAGCGCAACAAATCCTGTCAAATGATTAGCGGCATTCAAAATCCCGAACTGACAAGTCTTACGTTGACAAACTCCTTGCCCCGTTTCTCTTCGGTCCCGCGAGCTTGATTCTTGAAGACAACGTCGTCGTCCCATCTCCGCTTGAGATTAAAGTCTTGGGGGTTGAGCAGCGGGTTGCCCTTGGCAATGTCATACTCTCGTTGCTCCTCTTCCTTTGCAGCACGTTCGCGTTCCTAGAAATCGGTGAGTCTGGTAGAAAACCACACAAAATGAATGAACCAACCTCTTTCTCTTTCTGCTCTAGCCTCTCCCTCTTGATTTTTTCCAGTTCCCGCATCAATTCCGCAGCTTCATCTTCGTCATCACTATACCGTGTGAGCAAGTTCCATCGCAAGCCTGGCCGCAGATAGGATATTTACCTCTCTTCTTCACTACTGTCATCTTCTGATCCATCCGAGTCCGCATCTATATCCCGAGTTTCCTCTAATATCCGCCGTCGTTTCGCTTCTGGGTCCTCCTCTTCTGCTTCGCCTGCACCATCCGGAGGGCCCCCTTCTAATAGACGTTTCGGCGCCGCGCTTTCAATGGCCGGTTCATTGATTGGGACTCCGTTCTTCTTGGCAAAGTGAGCCGCCTCAGCCTGGAGAAGCTCGGCTCGTAGGTCGCGTTGTCGGACTTCGGTTTCACTTCCTTGCCCTAATTGACTGGGAATAGTCAGATGGAGTGTCCTCAGCTGATAACGCGTTAACCTACCGAGTTTTGAGGTGCGTATATGCGGGCAAAAGTCGTTGATGATAAGCCGGTCCACGAAGGGCCTCTTTCCCTTGCGCCTATAACCGTGGTGAGCTCCGCTCGAGGATGGGGATAGTTAGGATGAGCACGTACGGGATCGAAAGTGGGTCTGTGAGCTATAATCAAGTCAGCACATTATTTCTGCAACGTCACATTCAGCTTCCTCCTACCTGTAGTCATGATGGGCTGTCACGGATGGCCTGTTGTATGTTTTCTGCTCAATGATCTAAGGCTTGTCGGAGGATGATAATGTCGATGTTGCGGCCTCAGGCTGCAAGCTGAATCAGCCGGTTTCACCGCCTTCGGCATACTACGGATATGATTGGCTCATCTGGAAGATTGATGATCCGCTGCATTCAATGACGCTGCTGAATCCAGAAATTTCCTAAAAAGTCCGTCTTGATCGACCCCGTCGGGGCCAAGTCCGCCTCCGCAACCATGAACAAAGAAGCACCGCTCTCCATTGCTGAGCGCGACTTCATCCTCAATGCTCTGCGCGAGGATGTGAGACTGGATGGTCGCCACGCTGACCAGCTTCGTCCTCTGACTGTCACATTCGGGGATGAGTACGGGCATGTGAAGGTGCAGCTGGGCAAGACGAGGTGGGTTCTGTGCATACGATTCGGCGTCGTATCTGAAGTAGACTGACCTTCCTATAGTCTCATCGTGCGCATATCTTCAGAAGTAACAAAACCTCGCGATGACCGTCCCTTTGATGGCATCTTCACAATTGCCCTAGAGCTTACGGCTATGGGCTCGCCAGCTTGGGACAATGGACGGTATGGCTGCTACCATGTGTCGAGCGGCGCATTCAGCTAACGCACATACTCATCAGACAAGGAGATCTCGAAGCCTACATCTCGCACGTCCTTGACAGACTGGTGCGGCATTCGAACGCTTTAGACACCGAGTCACTGTGCATCCTCAAGGGAGTCAGTTGCTGGAGCATCCGCGCCGACGTCCACGTCACCGACTACGATGGCAACCTCATTGACGCCGCGTGTGTTGGAGTGATGGCTGGACTACAGCACTTCCGTCGTCCGGATGCGGTTGTCAAGGATGGACAGGTGATTGTCTACGGGTTAGACGAGCGGGTACCGGTTCCCTTGAATATTACGCACAAGCCTCTTTCAGTTACCTTTCACACCTTTGATGAAGGCAAACGGGTCATCCTCGATGCGACTCGGAAAGAAGAGCAAGCCTCGGAAGCGGACGTTGTCTTTGGCATGAATAATGCCGGAGATGTGTGTTTCGTTTCCAAGTTTTCCGGCTCCCCCGTGGATGCCTTAGTATTTGTGTCAAAGTCATCGGTTGCTCTTGAGAAGGTCAAGGAGATCAATGCGATTATTGACAAAGCCCTGCAAGCCGATTCGGCTAAAAGGTCAAAGAACGGAATGGTGGAAGAATCAAGGGCGGAGAATGACCGGTGACTCGATGCTCATGCGCATAACAACGACGAAAGGCAACATGGTAATGATACCAAGGATGTGATGTAATATAGAGCTCCATAATGATGTTTATTAGTCTCAATTGAAGTCTTCCCAGTCTATCGCTAGTCTACAGTATTACACGTGTACAGAAAGTCTCGGTCGATCTAGAAAGCGAAATCACATCATGGCTTTAGGCGAGACGTCCGCAGCCCCTGTCAATCATGTCGAGAAAAATCAGAATCGGATCGACTTTTGAAGACGAAAGGATCATTCTTAGGCCTCAGCTTTACCCTGAGTGGGCCGGTGGACGCGCATCCTCATTTGGCGCAGGAACAAAACGGCTGCTGGAGGAGGTAAAAGCGTAAATCGAAAGAGAGGGGGAAAAAAAAAGAGAAAGAAAAGAAAGGAAAACAAGCGACCCTCAGGGGAATGATTATCTCAACCAATTCGAATCCTTGATAACCTCTCTATCAAGCCTCTTAGCTTTTCAGGAACATTGAGTTCCGTGTCTCTGTTGTTGACTATTTATAAAGCCAGCTAACTAACTTATCCTTGGTGAACCACGGCCGAGTGTCAGCACCGCCCAGTGGAATCCGCAACAGCCAACCAGCCAACGTCGTTTCGCCGCCCATCTCAAAACACCTTCCTAGGCATTCAAGAATAGTCTACCATTTGCTACTTGCTGTCCTTATTCGCATCTTCCAGCTTTTCATAATTTGCCTCATCCGATCGGTTCTTCCTTTCAATCCCGATCAAACCCCCTTGCGCAACCTCGTGGCCGTTGTTGTCAACCAAATTACCCAGCCACTCCCCACTCACTCTTCCCCGAGTCTTCGGTCAATGCTTCAGGGACACAACATCCTTGTGACGGAGGAGTTTACCCGCATCAAGCATCATGGCCAGCGGTAGGCCTCCAGGTCTCCATCCAGCCGCTGGCCGCGATGAGGACCTGATGCAGATGGAGGATTCGACTCCCATATATAGTACGGGGCAGCGCCCGCCGGTCAACGACGACAACCTGTTGCGACAGTACAATATTGACGATTCCGATCAGCCTCAACCGCGTCCCTCAGTCTCCTACGATAATTTTGTTGGCGGGCGGGCACCGCCAGCTGCTGGAGCCCATGCATCGACCTCTGCGCATCCTCCGGCCCAACCGGGGGCATATCTCAGCGATCCTTACTCCGGAGCGGAGGTGTCTCGAACGTATTCGCAAACTTCCGGCCTGAGCAACTATCAACGGTATTCGGTCGACGAGTTTGACGATGACCGGGATATGCATGGGTACTATAACATGGATGACGACGACCATATGGCGTCGCCCCATCGCGTACGGCAGGCGAAGGACAGGAATAGTATTTTAGGTTTGGGAGGCGGCCTGATGGGGAGAGCGAAGCACATGCTTGGAATGGGACCTGAGTACTCGGAGATGGATCTCCCGCTGACGGAGGCCGGGGCTAGAGCCGCGCGGGTGGAAAGCGTTGAAGGCGACGAGACGGCTGCGCCTAGGGCGCAGAAAAAGTCCAGAAAGTCGGACTTCAAATTCGGTTTTGGTCGGGGGAAGGTCGACCCGTCGACACTTGGTCCGCGTATGATTACGCTCAACAACCCGCCTGCCAATGCTGTTCACAAATTCGTCGACAACCATGTGTCCACGGCCAAGTACAACATCGTCACCTTCGTCCCGAAGTTCCTATTCGAGCAGTTTTCGAAATACGCCAACCTGTTTTTCTTGTTCACCGCCGTGCTGCAGCAGATCCCCAGTGTGTCCCCGACGAATCGTTACACCACTATTGTGCCTCTGTTGATTGTGTTGTTGGTTTCTGCGATCAAGGAACTGGTGGAAGATTTCAAGCGAAGAAACTCGGACAAGTCGCTCAACCACTCCAAAACCCAGGTTCTAAAGGGCTCGGCTTTCCATGAAACGAAATGGGTCGATGTGGCCGTCGGCGACATCGTCCGTGTCGAATCCGAGCAGCCCTTTCCGGCCGACTTGGTGCTTCTAGCCTCTTCTGAGCCCGAAGGTCTCTGCTACATTGAGACTGCCAACCTGGACGGGGAGACCAATCTAAAGATCAAGCAGGCAATCCCCGAGACCGCGCATCTGGTCAGCCCCGCTGACCTGAGCCGCTTGAGTGGGCGCATCCGGTCGGAGCAACCCAACAGCAGTCTTTACACCTATGAAGCGACTCTTACAATGCACGCTGGAGGGGGCGAAAAGGAGCTTCCGTTGGCGCCAGATCAGCTGCTCCTTCGAGGAGCAACCCTGCGTAACACTCCCTGGATTCATGGTATAGTCGTCTTTACGGGTCACGAAACGAAACTGATGCGCAACGCAACCGCTACCCCGATCAAGCGGACGGCTGTCGAGCGGATGGTGAACGTCCAGATTTTGATGCTGGTCAGCATTCTCGTGTCTCTCAGCGTGGTCAGCTCCGTCGGGGACCTCATCATTCGACAAACCCAGGCCAAGAAGCTTGTCTATCTCTACTACGGCAGTACGAGTCCGGTCAAGCAATTCGTGCTCGACATCTTCACGTACTGGGTTCTCTACTCCAACCTTGTTCCCATCTCTCTCTTTGTTACCATCGAAATTGTAAAGTATGCACAGGCATTCTTGATCAATTCTGACCTTGATATTTACTACGACAAGACCGACACTCCCGCCACCTGCAGGACGTCTTCGCTTGTCGAAGAGCTCGGACAGATTGAGTATATCTTCTCCGATAAGACCGGAACCTTGACGTGCAACCAGATGGAATTCAAGCAGTGTAGCATCTACGGTGTGCAGTATGGTGACGAAGTACCTGAAGACCGCCGAGCTACGGCTGACGACGGCGCCGAAGCCGGAATCTACGACTTCAAGAAGCTCAGGGAGAACTTGCAGTCTCATCCATCCGCTGAAGCCATACATCACTTCCTCACTCTTCTAGCGACCTGCCATACAGTCATTCCCGAAAGAAATGCGGCAGACCCCGACAAGATCAAGTACCAGGCCGCCTCTCCTGATGAGGGTGCCTTGGTAGAGGGTGCCGCCGTGCTGGGCTATCGCTTCACCAACAGAAGGCCACGATCCGTCTTGTTCACCACAAATGGTCAAGAGTACGAGTATGAATTGCTCGCGGTCTGCGAGTTCAATTCGACAAGAAAACGGATGTCGACCATTTTCCGCTGTCCGGATGGGAAGATTCGCATCTACACCAAAGGTGCGGACACTGTTATTCTCGAACGATTGGGGCCCGATAACACTATTGTGGAAGCAACTCTGCAGCATCTCGAGGAGTATGCGTCCGAGGGTCTTCGGACACTGTGCCTCGCAATGCGTGAGATCCCAGAAGAAGAATATCAGCAGTGGATACAGATCTATGAGAAGGCTGCAACAACAGTCGGAGGCAATCGTGCCGATGAGCTTGACAAAGCTGCAGAGCTGATTGAGAAGGACTTTTATCTCCTTGGTGCTACGGCTATTGAGGATCGACTGCAGGATGGCGTCCCTGACACCATCCACACACTGCAAACGGCTGGAATCAAGATCTGGGTCTTGACCGGTGACCGACAAGAAACAGCAATCAACATCGGCATGTCGTGCAAGCTTATCTCAGAAGACATGACGCTACTGATTGTCAACGAGGATAATGCTCAAGCCACCCGGGATAACCTGACCAAGAAGCTACAGGCTGTTCAGAGCCAGGGCACATCTGGCGAGATCGAGGCTCTTGCTCTCATCATTGATGGTCGGTCATTGACATT